GGAAATGGTGGAAAATGATATCAAGTCAGGAAAGATTGTAAGCCAAGCTGCCTTAAAGGCCACAACACAAGTGCTTCAAAATGGTTCTGGAAATATTGGAGGGAAGAAGAGAAAGGAGGATGTAGCCACTATTGTATCAGCACCGCGGACCTATGTCCAAGATAATCCCCCGCAACACTATTTTCATTCCCAAACTCCATAATATCCCGTCCCATACTCTCCATATCCCATTTTTAACACCCAACCAATTGTCCCTCCTTGTTATCCGCAATGGCGTGCACCAATTCCTCAAAATCATCCACCGCCCCCACAAATTCACCAAAATACCACCAGAATTCCTTCACGTCCTAGACCACAATACAAGAAGGGAAATGGAGCTAAGGATGAGTTCACCCCTATTGGAGAATCATATGCTAGCTTGTTTATTAAAATAAGGGCATTGAATGTTTTGATTCCTATTGAAAGAAAGATGTCGAATCCTCCCCCGAGAAATCTAGATTATTCTCAACACTGCGCCTATTGTTCTGATGCCCCAGGGCACAACATAGAAATGTGCTGGTACTTGAAAAGGGTAATTCAAGATTTGATCAATTCTCATCGAATTATAGTTGAAAGCCCAACTGGACCAAACATTAATCAAAATCCACTGCCCAGGCATACTGATACAAACATGTTAAAAATGATGAATGGTTGCGAAGAAGTTGCAGTCCCATACAAGCCAATCCTTAAGGTTGGAACTGACATGGAAAATTCGGCGAATGTTATTGACTTGACAAAAACGGTGCTTTCAGGGGTGGAAAGGACGTCGGAAAAGTTGAGCCCATCAAACACACCCATCCTAACTGTGAAAGGAGCACTTGAAGATGATTGGGCACGTCAGAGAGAGGCAAGATTGGTTGTTCCAAGAGGGCCAAACAAGCATATCTTGATCGTGCAAGGAGCCTATATTCCACCAATGATCATTAGGCCAGTGTCCCAACTTTCAATGACTAACCCCAAGGCTGTACCTTGGAATTATAAGCCCTCCGTCGTGACATGCAAGGGGAAAGAAGTCAATGAAGAAGTAGATGAAGTAGGCGGAATGACCCGTTCGGGAAGATGCCATGCCCCGACTGAATTAAGGAAAACTAAAAATGACCAAATGCAAGTTAGGAGTCGAGTCACTGAAGAAGAAGTAGATGAGTTCTTAAGAAAAATGAAATTGTCAGACTATTCCATCGTGGAACAACTAAGGAATATTCCAGCCCAAATCTCTTTATTGTCTTTGTTGATACATTCACATTAACATCGTAAATCTATATTGAAGATTTTGAACGAAGCACATGTTCCTAATGAAGTTACAGTAAGTCAGTTAAAGAAGATTGCTGGGAGAATTTTTGAGGTAAACCGAATTACCTTTCCAGATGATGAACTATCGATGGGAGGCACGGGACATAACCAAGGCCTCCATATCACTGTAAAGTGTGAGCTTTCATATTTCACTCGAGTCCTAATTGATGGAGGATCTGGGGAAAATATTTGTCCTTTGTCAACTCTACAAAAATTGAATGTTAGTGCTGAAAGGGTACGACCCAACAACTTATGTGTTAGAACTTTTGATGGGTCAAAAACAGATGCCATTGGTGAGATAGAGCTCATACTAACAAAGGGGCATGTCGATTTCACTGTGAATTTTCAAGTGTTGAATATCAATGCATTCTACAATCTATTGTTGGGGAGACAATGGATGCATAGGGCTGGGGCAGTTCTCTCTACGTTGCATCAAATGATTAAGTATGAATACGACCGGCAGGAAGTGATTGTTCATGGTGGGGGAGATCTGTCAGTCTACAAAGACACTTCCCTCCCTTTTGTCAAGGCAAATAATGAGAATGAGGCATTAGTTTATCAAGCTTTTGAGGTAGTGGTTGTTGAGCATATCCTCGAGAGGAATCTCATTTCAAAACCACAATTGCCCATGGAATCCGTGATGATGGTAAATGAGATGCTGAAGCATGGGTTAGAACTGGGTAAAGGCTTGGGGATCTTCTTGCAAGGGAGAGCTTATCCGGTGAGTCCACGAAAGAGCCTTGGTACTTTTGGCTTAGGATACGAGCCCAGAATCGAGGACAAAATGAAGGCCAAGAAGCAGAAGAGAGATGTATGGTAACTTACCAAGCCTATACCACCTATATACAAATCTTTCATCAAAGCCCGTACAACAGAATCTTCTGAGTTACCACTCCCAGAGCAAGTTCTGGAGGTTAACGAAGAACTGATCAACTATTTTCAAGATTTATTTGTCGAGGCTGATAAGGTTGAACTCGAAGAAGGCACTAGTGATAGAGATGTGCAATTCATTGGTCATGATGTCCAACTGAACAATTGGGAGGCCACTCCTCTCCCCGTTAAGAATGAGTCTTGTTCTTTCTATGCTGATTCTAGTGATATGACATGCATGCAGAATTTTTCGCTAGATCTTAAAATCCAATCTAAGCTTCGACCTAATCCTGAAATAATAAGTCAAGAAATCGAATATGATAAAGACGAAGTATTTGAAGAATTAAGCAGGGATTTCAAACATTTTGAGAATAAATCAAACCCAAACATAAGTGAAACAGAGACGATAAATTTGAGAGATCATGAAAATATTAAGGAGACTAAGATAAGAGTACATGCTCGACATCAAAAGGAGGATATAATTCAGGCTCTGTTTGATTACAATGATATTTTTGCGTCATCTTATGATGACATGCCTGGATTAAGCACTGACATGGTGGTCCACAAGTTGCCGATTGATCCTAAGTTCCCTCCAGTAAAGCAAAAGTTGAGAAAGCTTAAAACTGACATGAGTGTAATAATTAAAGAGGAAATCACAAAACAACTTGAGGCCAAAGTCATTCGAGTCGCTCAATATCCTTCTTGGTTAGCCAACATCGTACATGTCCCTAAGAAAGACGACAAAGTTTGAATGTGTATTGATTATCGTGATTTGAACAAAGAAAATCCAAAAGATGACTTTTCTTTGCCCAACATTCATATTTTGTTGGATAATTGTGCTAAACATGAGATTGCATCTTTTGTGGATTGCTATGTGGGTTACCATCAGATTATTATGGATGATGAAGATGCAGAAAAAACGTCTTTTATCACTCCATAGGGTACATATTGTTATCGGGTTATGCCTTTTGGGTTAAAAAATGCGGGGGTAACATATATGAGGGCAATGAAAATCATGTTTCATGATGTGATGCATAAAGAAATCGAAGTTTATGTGGATGATGTGATCATTAAATCAAAAAACCAGTCGAATCATGTGCAAGACTTAAGAAGATTCTTCGAAAGGCTTCGCAGGTATAATCTCAAGCTTAATCCTGCAAAATGTGTATTTGGAGTACTGTCAGGAAAACTTTTGGGGTTTATAGTCAGTCGACGAGGTATCGAGTTAGATCCTTCAAAAATAAAAGCCATTCAGGAATTGTCACCTCCAAAGAACAAAACTAAGGTTATGAGCCTTCTAGGAAGGTTAAACTACATCAGTAGATTCATTGCTCAACTCACAACAACTTGCGAGCCCATTTTTTAGTTGTTAAAAAGGAATGCCACAGTCGAATGGACAGAAGAATGTCGAGAGGCGTTTGAAAGAATTAAGAATTACTTATCGAATCCCCCTGTGTTGGTTCCTCCCGAACCGGGCAGACCATTGATATTATATATGTCAGTGGATAATTAATTTGGCTGTGTATTGGGTCAGTATGATGGCACTGGGAAGAAAAAGCAGGCCATTTATTACCTCAGCAAGAAATTTACCGTTTATGAATCGAAGTACACCCTTCTTGAAAGAACGTGTTGTGCCTTAACTTGGGTAGCACATAAGTTGAAGCATTATCTTTCATCTTTTACTACTTATCTCATTTCTCGTATGGATTCGTTAAAATACATTTTTCAAAAGCCCATGCCCACGGGCAGGCTTGCGAAATGGCAAATATTACTCACAGAGTTTGACATAATCTATGTGACGCGGACCGCAATGAAGGCTCAAGCATTGGCAGATCATTTGGTAGAGAACCCTATTGATGATGAATATGAACCACTTAAGACCTACTTTCCAGACGAAGAGGTGTCATGTATCGATGAAGTTATTCACGATAAGGATCAAAGATGGAAGTTGTTCTCTGACGGTGCCTCTAACAAGAAGAGAGTTGGGATATGAGTAGTTCTTATGTCTGAATCAGGGGAATATTTCCCTATAACAACCCAACTTAGATTCTATTGTACCAATAATATGTCAGAGTATGAGGCTTGTATCTTGGGTTTGAGGTTAGCTGCTGACATGGGCATCGAAGAGTTGCTAGTGCTAGGAGACTCAGACTTACTAGTCCATCAAATTCAAGGAGAATGAGAGACTCGTGACCCAAAGCTCACACCATATCAACATTGTTTACAAGATCTTTGTTGACGGTTTGTGTCAATAAAGTTTAGACACATTCCTAGAGTTCATAATGAGATTGTTGATGCATTGGCAACTTTTATCTTCGATGCTCCAACATCCTGACGAAGCTCATATCGACCCTTTGTACATACAGATCCGTGATCAACATGCTTATTGCAACATGGTGGAGGAAGAATTTGACGGTAAACCTTGGTTCCATGATATTAAAACATATCTTCAGTCCGGAGAATGTCCTACTAATGCCACTAGTAATCAAAAAATGACTATTCGGCGACTAGCTAGCGGTTTTTCTTAAGCGGAGGCATATTGTACAAGAAAACACCTGATTTGGGTCTTCTAAGATGTGTAAATGCTAAAGAGGCTGCAACAATCATGATTGAAGTACACTCAAGAGTTTGTGGACCTCACATGAATGGATATGTTCTGGCAAATAAGATACTTCGAGTAGGTTATTATTGGCTCACCATGGAGCAGGATTCCATAGGATTTATTTGTAAATGTCATGAATGTCAAATACACGGTGATTTGATACATTCTTCTCCCTCCGGTTGCATGCGATGTCTGCTCCATGGCCTTTCGTGGCATGGGGAATGGAGTGATTGGACCAATAGAACCAAAAGCATCGAATGGTCATAGGTTCATCCTGGTGGCCATTGATTATTTTACAAAGTGGGTGATAGCAGTAACTTTCAAGTCAGTGACCAAGAAGGTTATGGTGGATTTCATTCATTTCAATATCATCTATCGATTCGGTATTCCAACGGTAATTGTTACCGATAATGCTGCAAATCTCAACAGTCGTTTAATGCAAGAGGTATGCCATCAATTTAAGATTGAACATCGAAATTCAACTCCGTATCGCCCAAAAGCAAATGGGGATGTAGAAGTTGCTAACAAAAATATAAAAAAGATACTTTGTAAAATGGTGCAAGGTTCTTGACAATGGCATGAAAAGTTGCCTTTTGCTTTGTTGGGTTATCGCACTACAGTTCGTACGTAAGTGGGTGCCACTCCCTATTCATTGGTATATGGGATTGAGGCAGTTATACCTGCAGAAGTTGAGATTCCATCCCTATGGATTGTTGTGGAGGCTGAAATTGATGATGATGAGTGGATCAGAACACGGTTGGATCAATTAACTTTGATTGATGAGAAGCGATTGACATCAGTATCCCATGGACAATTGTATCAGAAAAGAATGACACGAGCATACAACAAAAAGGTGCGTCTCAGATGTTTCGAAGAGGGTCAATTAGTATTGAGGCACATTCTGCCACACCAGGCCGAAGTCAAAGGCAAATTTTCTCCAAATTGGAAAGGACCATTCATTGTAAAGAAGGTATTATCCAATGGTGCTCTTTAGTTAGTAGATATAAAAGGCAAAATGACAGAAATGGTCATCAATGTTGATGTTGTGAAAAAATATTATATATGATTTGATTTTTTGGTATTAGAAACCCTCATGTTTGGACTTGACATTTTGAAGGTTGATGTAATGGAAATTCCTGGTTCTGTGTCTAAGTATTAAGTCACATATTGTTACCCTCGTTGAGATCTAATTTACTTCCTTGGCCCTTCCACTTCTTTGGTTCTTCAAAAAAAAAAACAGAAAAAAAAGAAACAAAAAAACAACAACAGTCTATCCTAAACTATGTTTGACCTGATTCTTCTTTTGGCAAGATACATAGGCAGCCCTGGTGTTGGGGTTCAGTCCAACCAAATAAAAAATCCAAAATTTCGTATTTGCAAAAACTGGGGCAAAAGTCATTTTTTTTTATTATTCATTTATTTATTTATTTTTGTATCCCAAGGCAAAAGTCAACCCCATTATTTAAAGTCGTATTTAAGCCTTCATCCTGTCATTTCTTTCTAACCTTGTATAAAAGTCAGGTTTCAAGCAAAGAGAGACCTTTGGGTCAACCTTTGAAATGTCAAGAGTAAGTATGCTAAGGGTACGAACGATGACACCATACTCCTTTTCATGAAAAAAATGAAATAAAAAATGAGAGAGTCTTATTGGTGAAGACCCTAAGTGGGCACCGTAAGGCAAAAGTGAGCTGTAAAAAAAACTAAAAAAAATGAGAGAGTCTTATTGGTGAAGACCCTAAGTGGGCATCATGAGGCGAATGTGAGTTGAGATAAATAAAAATGAGAGAGTTTTGTTGGAAAAAAATAAAAAAATAAAAATGAGAGAGTCTTATTGGTGAAAACCCTAACTGGGCATCATGAGGCGAATGTGAGTTGAGATAAATAAAAATGAGAGAGTTTTGTTGGTGAAAACCCTAACGGGCACCATAAGGCGAATGTTCGTTGAAGGAATCAAAATGAAAGAGTCTTAGTGGCAAAAACCCTCATGGACATCATAAGGCGAATAAGGGTTTGAAATTGGTTATGACTTCATTAAAGGTTGAGACCCCACATAAAAAAATAGAGGATCAATAATGGTTGATGAATAATTGGATGGACAAATTGGGTAATCAATTCAAATTGCATGTCATGATCAGTAGAGTCGGCTACCACACTCATATAAGTTTTTTTTCTTCCCCTCTCTAAAAGAGATTCTTTTTCGAATCATTTTCTTCTATTCTTGTGTAGTATATATTTTTCTTCCACTTTTCATCACTTTGCTTCATATGTCCTTGAGTTGAGCCTGTGTCAAGAAGGTGAGAAAGGATTTCAAGACTTTCTACCAACTCTGGATTTGTACAAGGCAAAACATCAGGCCAATGAGTTATCATTTGTCGACAAGTTTTGGATTCAGAAAAAGTCCATCATTTAATGAAGGTTAAACAATGAGTGTCGTGAAATAAAGGCAGATGTTGGATTTAAGTCCCTCAAAATGAGCAAATTTGGGTGAAAATACAGTCAATCAATAACGAGCACTGGGCGTTAGAAAATAAGTAAAACATGACAAGTACTTGAGCAATCCTCGTCAAAAGGCAGAACCACAAACCAACCGCCACATTTTTAAACTTACAAATTTTCTTTTTTGAAGCAGTGGTACAAGTTATTTCAAGATGAAAGATTCGAAAAAAACCCTAGATGTTCAATTTAGTCTACAAAGAGCAAAATGACAACATTGCAATAAAGGTTTGTGAAACCCAATTACAAGGAAATTGGCCAATATATATCAAAATAGCAATTACCTGAGAGATCGAATCTACTTTTCTTGAATATTCCGCAAATAATTTGGATAACACTCACAAAAATATAAAAATAAAATACTGGGGTAAATGTTTTGTTTGTATTTTTAGTCTATTGAACGTATTATAGCAGGACTCTCCTGGATAGTGGGACTAGCAGGACCCTCCTGGATAATGGGATCAACAGGACCCTCCTGGATAATGGGACTAGTAGGACCCTCTAGGATAATGGGATTAACAGGACCCTCATGGATAATGGGACCAGCAGGACCCTCCAGGATAATGGGATTAGCAGGACCCTCCTGGATAATGGAATCAACAGGACCCTCCTGGATAATGGGACTAG